TTCATGGAGTGCCCACGAGTTCTTGTATGGTGAGAAAGGGAGAAAAGGACTTCTTTCTCTACTGTGTCTATCTCATGCCTCTCTCATGTCACCCCTTAGTCGTCATTTCTCCAAGCTAAAGAGCCCTAACTCCATCCCCTTAATCATTGCCCTTTTCTGCACCTTTTCTAAAGCTATAACTTGAGATGCGGTGACCAGAACTGTACACTATATTCCAAATGAAGCTGCACCATAGTTTTATACAGGGACACTGTGATACTGGCTGAGTTGTTTTCAGTCCCTTTTCTAATAATCCCCAGCATAGCCTTTGTGTTGCCATCAATGAGACTTACAGCACAGAACACTTTCCTGGGAGCAACCGCCACTCAATAGAATGGCATAGGATCCTGAATTTGGTGTAGTGCTTAGGAGCCAGTTGGGTGTAGTGGTTAGGAGCCTGGAGTCTAATCTGGGAGAACCGGGTTTGATTCCCCACTCATCCACATGCAGCTGCTGGTGTGGCCTTGGGTCAGTCATTAGTTCTTTCAGAGCTGTTCTCTCAAAGGCAGTTCTCAAAAGAGCTCTTTCAGCCCCATCTGCCTCCCAGGGTGTCTGGTGTGGGGAGGGGGAGGGAAAGGAGGTTGTAAGCCGCTCTGAGACCCTTTGGGGTAGTGAAAGGCAGGGTATAAATCCAATCTCTTCTTCTTCTTCTTCTTCTTCTTCTTCTTCTTCTTCTTCTTCTTCTTCTTCTTCTTCTTCTTCTTCTTCTTCTTCTTCTCTTCCTCTGAGTAATTCTGAAAAGAATTGCTCTCTGTTGGCTGGATCAGATCCATAGGCAGTGTCTGACGCCTTGGGGTTAACAAGCTGAGAAAGGGTGACTCTCCCCACTGTCCCCACTGATGGCAGAGTTGGGATTTGAGTGCACGTCTCCCTGATCATGGTCTGACACACAAAAGACTATACCACACTGTATCGAATGACAAAGTAGAGCCACTATATGACAAACTAATATCTTATCGATAGCTGTGGAGTCGCATCCGAAATGGTTCATTCGCTGGTGTGGGACATCTCTTGATGCGAAGTGTTGAGTAATGGAACACTGTGACCGGAACAGGCTAGTGAGGGAAGGCCAGGAGGTGTTCCTCGTGAGAAAAGCCCTGAGGCCCAGCTGGAAGCAAAAGAGAAGCCTGCTGGGAAAAGGCCAGACAGACCCCAGGTGGAGCTGGTGAGAGCTAGCAGCCCTGGAGACAGGCCCAGCTCCACAGCCATTACCAGCAGCTGGGAATAGGTGGGGCGGTGGGGCAGCCTAGCCAGGGGGCTTGTAAAGGCAAGGCTTAGAAGCTGCAGGGAGAGGCTTGCTGGAGAAGATGGCCGTAGGATGGTGACCATAGAGTTTTTAGCCACATGCTAGAGCATCCCCTGTACAATGTGCCCAGTGTGATGACATCGTTTCCGAGTGATGTCATCGTGGCATGCACGCTTTGCGCGCACACCAGAAAAACCCCAGGACTAAGCCAGACGGGTAAGACCCGGCACTGGCAGATGGGTGAAACCTGGCAACCCTAAGTCACTTCCTATTTCAAAGAAAACAAAACTGGGGCCAATATCAATTCAAAGATACACTCTAAAAGGTAAATTGAGTATGCTTAATACATATGCTTTATACTTAATAGTAACTTCTCAGTGTACAAAATTTCCCCAAGTTATATAATCTAGCCATACAATATCAAAGTATTTACAATAACAAGATAATACAAGGCTTTATAAGCCTTATACTCTTTTGACTGCCAACAGTAACTGTTTTGGAATTCCACTGATATCTTCGGGCTGTTGGCAGCAACTGACAATTTATTGTATTACCGTATTTTCCGGTGTATAAGACGACTGGGCGTATAAGACGACCCCCCCACTTTTCCAGTTAAAATATAGAGTTAGGGGGTTGGAGCACCCTCTCTATGTAGAAAGGCTGAAGAGTCTGGGACTTTTCAGTGTAGAAAAGAGATGACTTAAGGAGGGATATGATGGAGGTTGATAAAATTATGATGGGGTGGAGAGAGCTGACAAAGTGAAATTTTTCTCCCAATGTACTAGAACTCATGAGCATTCAATGAAGCTGATGGGCAGTATGTTCAGGATGGACAAAAGGAAATACCACTTTACAGTGAGTGATTAAAATGTGGCCAGGACACTAGAAGCCCTTTCACGCACCACCACCCCCAAGCACCAAGGATCGGGAAGATGGGGGCGGTTCTGCCTGGGCCGCGCGGATCGGCTGAGGCAGGCGGGGGGGGGAGAGAGAGATCTTCTCGGGGCGTGCTTTTTATTTTATAATCATTCCACGTCCCCCATACACAAACTGCCAATGCCGGTACTGAATTTCCCACCTCTGATCACAGCTGGTGGTGGCCTGCATAACATCCCTTTATCTTCCCATTAAGCCCGTGGGGAGGTTAGTCTGAATGAACCAGTTCAGAACTTACTTACTTCCACCTTTCAAAAACAGTATATTTTCCTTCTTTCCTCGAGATTCCCTGGCAAATCTATTTCTGTCTCCACATATATTTTACTTACAAAACTTCCCTACCAACCCGGCTTCCTGCTCAGACTTTCAATAGTAAACGACAGGAAAGTGCAAAGAACTCCACTCTGTTCTCCTGTCTGGCAGTCCTCTTTCCCCCGTTTGTTTTGGAAACCCAGCAGCCGAGGCTACAATTGGCACTCCACTGATCAGTCCTGTGCTAAAAACCAAAGGAGCAGCACGAAATCTGAAGTATTAAACCCATTTCTGTTATGTTGGCACTCTCGGTAACTCCCTCCCCCATCTGTTTCTGAAAACGCCGCCTTCAAAAATCAGGTGCACGCGAGATAAGGGCGAAAAAGCAGAGGTGGGGTGCTGGTTTGTTTAAGGTCGTCTGACTGCAGCTGTTGTAAAGGAGGAATGCTTTGTCTCCTCAGTGGCATGAAATCCCACTTCAGGCTACTGTACTGAAAGTCTCTGAACCGAGTTTATCCAGCTAGGCAAAAACTTCCAATACCACCTGCAGCCTAGTTTCCCTTCTCCAGGCACAACAATGGCCCAGTGATTTCATTTCTCCCTGCAACTGAAACGGCCTCGTTCTGAGGCAGAAATCAAAGCTCTCCCCGGGTGTTATTAATCCCCGGGAAACAACCCTCTTCGGTCCTTTCGTCTCCATAAACTTCCGCCTTTTTTCTCTAGCTCCCGGTGGGGTTTTTAATATTGATCGAAGGCAAACGGGAATCTCTTGGCCACGGGAAGACTAAGCGGGTTGCTTGAAGTTTCAGCAGCAGCGGCGGGCTTCTCTGGGCCATACCTTTTTTTTTTTTAAAGTACCGTAATTACCGGAGTATAAGACCACCCCCCAATTCTGAGACGATTTCCCTGGGTTTAAAAAGTCGTCTTATACACCGGAAAATACGGTATCTTGTTATTGTAAATACTTTGATATTGTATGGCTAGATTATATAACTTGGGGAAATTTTGTACACTGAGAAGTTACTATTAAGTATAAAGCATATGTATTAAGCATACTCAACTTACCTTTTAGAGTGTATCTTTGGATTTATATTGGCCCCAGTTTTGTTTTCTTTGGAGTGTGGTTACTGGGAGGTCTGTTTTGTTTGGATTTGGCTACTTCCTATTTCAAAACAGGACGTGATGTCATGCCCCTCTCAGAATTTCAAAAATCTGTTGGTTTTTCATAAAAATTCATACCCACTGAATAGCGCGCTTTCAAAGCCCTTTGGGACTGGACTTTGCTACGTGAAATGGCAAAATCCACTCGTAAACAGCCACTGCGGTGGATTGAAAGAGCATTATCTAGCGTGCGTGAGAGCACAAAAAGGTCTTGAAGTTCCTCGAGTGCCATGAGTGTCGTTTCGAAACAGGAAATGACTTCCAAGAAGTCTCGGCGTCTCCCCCAATGCTCCTGGGGATTGCCAGTTGAAAGTTGGCGTCCCTTTGGCCCTTTTTGGTGCCAGTAGCTCTGACGGGGCTGCCCAGCTTGAACTTAGGCCATGGTGATCATAGAATCATTGAATCCCAGAGTTGGAAGGGGCCCTACAGGCCATCTACTCCAACCCCCCTGCTCAATGCAAGATCAGCCTGGAGCATCCCTGACAAGTCTTTGTCCAGCCGCTGCTTTGAGACGGCCAGTACTAAGGGGGAGCTCACCACCTCCCTGGGCAGCTGATGCCACAAATGCAGGCTTGGCCGTAGAAGCCACAGTTTGCTCCAGGATGCTTTTAATGTCCCAGCCCCCTCCTGACAACAAGCAACTTTGGAGCCGCTAACCAGTCAAATAGCCAGTCCTCGTATCTTCACGGATCTCCCAGCTTCCTGTCTGTATTGATCCTAAATCAGATTCCAGGATCAAGTACTTAGACATAGGGTTGTTGTTTTTTTTGCAGAAGCATATGCATTGACCAGGGGGCTGCAGTGGATTAGAGGTTTAAGATGCTGAGCTGCAGACCAGAAGGTCTGTAGTTCGGCAGTTCGAGACCTGAGTGCCGTGTGACGGAGTGAGCTCCCATCTCTTGCCCCAGCTCCTCCCAGCCTAGTGGTTCAAATGCAAGAAATTGCAAGTAGATAAATAGGTACCGCTTCGGTGGGAAGGTAGCAGCGTTCCGTGCGCCTCGGCGTTTAGTCATGCCGGCTACATGACCATGGAAACATCTTCGGACAGCGCTGGCTCTTCGGCTTGGAAACGGAGATAAGTGCCGCCCCCTAGAGTCAGATTCGACTGGCTTTCGAGCAAGGGAAACCTTTACCCTTTACCTTTTGTGCATTTACCCCATTTGACGGCCGCAACACGCAGCACTTAAGCCTTACCCCGTAAAACACGGAGCAGCCCTTCACAGAATCGCTTAATTAAATGGAATATTTAATTGCATTTCACAGAGAACAGAAAGCTGCACGAGAAGAGAATGCTTCAAAAATGATCAAGGGTGTCTACTAAGCTGACTTCCCCCCTTTGTCTTTTTCTCCTCCCCCACCCCCCCAGTCCTTTGAAAGGGTTTTGGTCGAGAACAAGCTGCACGGGCTTTCGCCGGCCCTCTCGGAAGCCATCCAGAGCATTTCTCGCTGGGAACTCGTCCAAGCCGCCTTACCACACGTGCTTCACTGCACGGCCACGCTGCTCTCCAATCGCAACAAGCTAGGTGAGTGTGAACGTGCGGTCTCCGAGAAAGATTACTATGCCGTGTTATGCTGGAAACATTTCACAGGAAACTGAGACTGTGGATCTCGGGGAGGAGTGGGGTATGTCTCGCTAATGTTGCACGAGCAAGTACTAGAAGATGCACGAGATCTTCTCTGTCCCTTTCGTATCAGATGTATTGTATGCTTTCATTTCCCTGCTGGCCATCTTCTTTGTAATCGCTGTAGCACACAGACCCCTTCCCAGACACCTAGGAGAGCCCCCAGTCCTGCCACAAACACAAATGTGGAAACGGCCCCCACAGACGAGAGCCAGCGTGGCGTGGTGGTTAAGAGCGGTGCACTCTAATCTGGAGGACCGGGTTTGACTCCCCACTCCTCCACGTGCAGCTGCTGGTGTGACCTTGGGTCAGTTATACCCTGTCTATTTGCTTATGACTTATGGGTCTATGAGCAATAAAAATGAATGGAATGGAAATCACCTTGGGTCAGTCGCAAGTTCCTTCAGTGCTGTTCTCTCAAGAGAAGTCCTCGAGAGAGCTCTCTCAGCCCCACCTACCTCAGAGGGTGCCGGTTGTGGGGAGAGGAAGGGAAGGAGATTGTCAGCCGCTCCGAGACTCCCTCAGGTAGTGAAGGGCGGGGTATAAAACCAACTTTTCTTCTTACGGAGCATTTTTATAAAGTGGGTGGGGCCAGGCTGGGTTCTTGCTCCAAAGGGCTTCCGATTGCCCACTGAGGATCCAACTGGCTGTGCAGATTGCAATAACGTTTCAGCAGAGGTCATTTCGGGGGGGATCGCGGGGGAACGCAGTTCCCCCGGGTGAGGTGCGGGGGGCGGGGCACATGATGAAGCCCCGCCCCTGCTTCCGGCCGCCCCGCTTCCGGCCCTCATTCAGCCAGGAGGAGGCAGGAGAAGAGGGAGGGTAAGTTGCTTCCTCCCCGCCTCTCCCCACCCCTGCCTGCCAGGAGCCAGGGAGGGCCTTGGCGGGGGTTTCTCGCGCCGGCCTTGCAGGTCCACCGCTGGGCCCCTGATGTCAAGGGGTGTGGCATATGCTAATGAGTTATGCTAATGAGTCCCCCTAGCTCTTTTTCTACGAAACGACCCCTGCGTTTCAGAGGCAGCTGCTGCTACCTTGTCAGTCTTCTTCTCTCCTCTTTCCCAGGGTGTTTTTGAAATGGCCTCTTTTCTCCCCTTCTCCTGGGCGTGGCTCTGCCTCTTATGGCAGCCATGTTGTGGTTGGCTCCACCTCCCGCAGCAGACATTTTGGGGTTGTGCTCAACACCCTGTGCCAGAATTCCCAAGGTGCCCACAGGCTCAAAAAGGTTGGGGACCCCCTGTTGTAGCACTTTTCAGCCATGGGGACCTAATGTTATGACACGTCCAGGTGCCTCAGGGACTTGTTGTTGTTGTTATTAGAAGCACAGACTCTAATCTGGGAGAACCAAGTTTAATTCCCCACTCCTCCACATGCAGCTGCCAGTGTGACCTTGGGTCAGTCACAAGTTCTCTCAGAGCTGTTTTCTCATGAGTAGTTCTCTCAGAGCTGTTCTCTCATGAGCAGTCCTCGAAAGAGCTCTCTCAGCCCCGCCTACCTCACAGGGTGTCTGTTGTGGGGAGGGGAAGGGAAAGGAGATTGTAAGCCGCTCTGAGACTCCGAGTGAAGGGCAGTGTATAAATCCAAACTACTACTACTACTACTACTACTACTACTACTACTACTACTACTACTACTACTACTACTACTACTACTACTACTACTACTACTACTACTACTACTACTACTACTACTACTACTACTACTACTACTACTACTACTACTACTACTACTACTACTACTACTACTACTACTACTACTACTACTACTACTACTACTACTACTACTACTACTACTACTACTACTACTACTACTACTACTACTACTACTACTACTACTACTACTAGATTTTTAGACTACTCTCCCCCAATACTTGGTGCTCAGGGCAGTGTACAGTTAAAAATAATTACAGTTTAAAATAATTAAAAACATTTAAACAATATAGCAATCATTCCCAAAAGGCGCCTAAAAGCCAATTATCCTTAACCCCAAGGAGGGGAGTGGACGGAAAAAGAGGTCAGGCTTGATGACAAACCGTGGCTGTCCTCAACCATAGGCCCGGCAGAACGCCTCTGTCTTACAGGTCCTGCGGAACTGGACGAAGCCCCACAACGCACAGAGGTCACTAGGCAGAGAGTCCCACCAGGCCAGTGACAGGGCTGAAAAGGCCCTGGCTCTGGGCAAGGACAGCCGGATCTCTTTCAAGCCAGGGATCACCAGGAGATTTTGTTCCCTAGAGCGTGATGTTCTGCAGGGGGTACACCAAGAGAGGCAGTCCCATAGGTAACGTTAGTTCCAGACCGTTTAGGGCCCTAAAGGTTAATACCAAAACCTTGAACCTGATCCAGTATTCAACCCGGAGCCAGTGCAGCTGGCAAAGCACCGTTTGGATATGTGTTGTCAAAGGGGTCCCCGTGAGGACCCAGGCCACTGCATTTTAGACTTGTTGTAATTTCCGAGTCAGCCTCAAGGGTGGCCCTATGTAGAGTGAGTTACAGTAGTCTAGCCTAGACGTGACTGTTGCATGGATTTCCATGTGCACTCCTCACCCCCTGTGCACTCCTCACACGCCTTTCCTTAATGACACTGGGCAATTAAGTGCATGGATACAGACATGTGGCAGGGGAAGTACATTGGTGGATTTCTTGAAGGATCAGCAAGGAACAACCCCAAGGTTCATTTGACCAAAGACTTTGTTTTGCGTTGTCTCTCCTAGGGCATCAGGACAAACTCGGGGTGGCGGAAACGAAGCTCCTTCACACCCTCCACTGGATGCTCCTGGAAGCCCCCCAAGACTGCAGCAATGACCGCTTTGGGGGCGGAGACCGGGGGTCCAGCTGGAGAGGCAGCGGCAGCGCCTTCATCCACCAGATGGAAAACCAGGGCTCCCCGGGCCACGCCAGGCGGGACAGCACCTACGACGAGGAAGAGAATAACCGGAGGAAGTTCTTCCAGAATTCCATGGCCACCGTGGAGCTCTTTGTCTTCTTGTTTGCTCCTCTCGTTCATAGGATCAAAGTAAGTCTCTGGAGCACTGAGAGGAGTATTCCCTCTATGCTGAGTTAGTGTGAGCCAGCTCACAGTTTTTTAGCCTCCGGCTCACAGATTCTTGTCTTCGCTCAGGAAGGAGGGCACCAGAGCAAGCTAATTTATGCCAGAGCCAAATCGCCCGCTCACAACTTGAATGCCAGTGCCTCGCAAAGTAGAATTTTTGCTCACAAGACTCCACAGCTTAAAGGGAATACTGACTGGGAGCGGGAGAAGACGGGGTGAAGGAGAGGCCCCTCCAGACATTTCGCCTCTGGCCTCTTCGAAAGTTGTGTTTCGTTTTTTCATTAAAACTCTATCATCCTGCCTCTCGCTGTAAATGGAAAGCCAGGGAGGCTCATGGCATTAGCCGAAGTTTAATGTTTGAGACATGAATTAATTAGTGTTGTCGTTGCTGTTTATGACAGTCTTTAGACCAGCGTACAGTTTAGTCAGACATAAAGTACAGTAGTTAAAAAAAAAATCGAATTTAAGAGCTTTTACGGTGGAATTCCCGTAATTTGAAAATTAATGCACAGGGTTTAGCAACTGGACATGTGATCTTAGAATTATTGTCAGATGAAAACCAGCGAAGCCTTGTTTTATTTGTGTTTATGTGGCCGGGGATCGTAGCAAGTAACGGAGAAATAATTCCAAGACGTACCTCCCTGTAGAGTGGACAGCTAAAGAACATGTGCTCAACAGACCCAACCACCCCTAGGGAGCAAGAGCATATCCTTTCTGGGTAGTGAATTTTATTATAGGTAAAGGTTCCCTTGCTCGAAAGCCAGTCGAGTCCTTGAACCTCTAGGGTTGCGGCGCTCATCTCCGTTTCCAAGCCGAAGAGCCAGCGCTGTCCGAAGACATTTCCGTGGTCATGTGGCCGGCATGACTAAACACCAAGGGGCATGGAACGCTGTTACCTTCCCACCGAAGTGGTACCTATTTATCTACTTGCAATTTCTTGCTTTCGAACGGCTAGGTTGGCAGGAGCTGGAACTAGAGACAGGAGCTCACTCCGTCTTGCGGCACACTCGGGTCTCGAACTGCTGAACTACCGACCTTCCACAGCCTGCAGTTCAGCGTCTTAACCTACCCTCAATAACCGCCGAAGGGAGAGCAGAACACTTAGTTAGAGTAAAGGTAAAGGTTTCCCTTGCTCAAAAGCTAGTCGAATCCAGCTCTAGGGTTGCAGTGCTCATCTCCATTTCCAAGCCAAAGAGCCAGCACTGTCCGAAGACGTTTCCGTGGTCATGTGGCCGGCATGACTAGACGCCGAGGCGCACGGAACGCTTTTACCTTCCCACCGAAGCGGTACCTGCTTATCTACCTGCAATTTCATGCTTTCAAACTGCTAGTTTGGCAGGAGCTGGGGCCGGAGACGGGAGCTCACTCCGTCGCGCGGCACTCGGGTCTCGAACGGCCGAACTACAGGCCTTCCAGTCTTAAACTCAGCGTCTTAATCTCTGAGCCACCGTGGCCCCTAACTAGAGTAAATGCCCTTTTAAAACTATTTACTTCCACAGAGGCCAGATGCATTGCTAATTCAATGGTGCTTTTGACATTTAACGGCACCCCAAGTTTTGATGCACTAGAGATATCGGATTGCCGCTCTGTATCCTCAATCCTTTGATTCATCAGCCCTTTTGCTTGCTCAGGCCCATTAATGATGTCTTTAATGGACCTGAACATGTGCCAGGTGAGAAAGTCTCAATATAGTTTTCCTTATAGATGTGCACCTTCACCTGGACAACCCAGGCTAGCCTGATCTCATCAAATCTCTGAATCTAAGCAGGGTCAGTCCTGGTTAGCGCTTAGATGGGAGACCACCAAGGAAGGGAAGGTTACGGCAAGATATAACGAAACCATGGTTGCGGTCACACGGAGCATTAGCCACGCTACAGAGACGGATGATAGGCGGATTTTCCGGGCACGACCACACCGCAACATCTGGGAAGCGTAGAGCTCCCGTGGCGAACCCGAGGCTTCCCGCCGAAGATGCAGAGTTAAAAACTAGTACCTCCAAGGTACTAGTTTCCGGAAACCGTGGGGCAAAGGCTGGCGTCTGATCGTGTTTCTGGTGGTAGTCCGTGGCATCCGGCGCCCGCCCATGTCCCGTTGCAAACAGGTTTTTTTTCCCCAAGTCTCCACAGGATACGCACAAGCACCCAACGGCACATGCGCACAAAGAGGAAGTGGCGTTGGCCACAGAAGCGGCGCGGCGCGATTGCCGGTGTGAATGCGTCGTGCTGCTTCTTTGCCGTGCTGCTGCCTAGCCGTCTGATCGGCACCTTACGCCTAACCACGGGACCTCGTCAGAATGTCTGATTGGGCTGCCGCACGTTACTTTGTCCCGGGGCTAACAGCCACGCTTCCCCCCCCACGCATTTTTCGGCCCGTGGGACCCATGTTTAGGTTTGTCTTTGGGGCCCAAAGCTGTGGAGGAACAACAGTGCATTTGCTCTGCTGTCATGATTAGAAGAAGAGAAGAGAAGAGATTGGATCTATACCCCGCCCTTCACTACCCAAAGGAGTCTCAGAGCGGCTTACAAACTCCTTTCCCTTCCCCTCCCCACAACAGACACCCTGTGAGGCTGAGAGAATTCTGACAGAGACTGCTCTTTTAAGAGCAGCACTGACAGAACTATGGCTTGCTCAAGGTCCTCCAGCAGGTGAGAATGGAGGAGTGGGGAATCAAACCAGGTTCTCCCAGATGAGAGAACTACTGCACCAAACTGGGTCTCACACGGCTCACTTCTTCAGAGCCAGGAAATGGCAAACCGCCTCTGAACGTCTCATTCCTTGGAAACCCTGTGGGGTTGCCATAGGTTGGCTGCAACATGAAGGCGCTTTCCATCCTGGGTGTGATCTGGCTGTATTTTCTCGGGGAGCACACGTGTACAGGGTTTGGGGTCTGCTGGAACAGGCAGCATTTCACAGAAATGTATGAAACGACAGATACATTCAGTGAGACTTCCGCACTTATCTAATGGGTTCTAAGTGCTGTAGCGCTGAGAGCCAGTTTGGTGTAGTGATTAAGTGTGCGGACTCTGATCTGGGAGAACCAGGGTTGATTCCCCACTCCCCCACTTGCAGCTGCTGAATGACCTTGGGCAAGTCATAGTTCTATCAGAGCTGTTCTCTCGAGGACATTTCTCGAAAGAGCTCTCTCAGCCCCCATCTACCTCTCAGGGTGTCTATTGTGGGGAGGGGAAGGGAAAGGCGTTTGTAAGCCACTCTGAGACTCCTTCGGGTAGTGAAGGGTGGGGTATAAATCCAATCTCCTCTTCCTCTTCCTCCTCCTCCTTCTCCTTCTAGGGTCATTAGGTCCCCCTTGATCACTGGCAAGGTGTGGGGGGGTAGGGTGTCAGATCTGGGTTAGGAAAATTCCTGGTGATTGGGGTGGAGCCTGGGGGAGGACAGGGATCTCAGTGGGATACAGTGCCACAGAATCCACACTTTGAAGCATCCATTTTCTCCAGGGGAACCGATTTCTATAATCTGGAGATAAACCGTAATTCCAGGGGATCCCCAGGTCCCACCTGGAGGCTGGCTTCTCTAGCTGGAACTTTTCTTGCTTCGGGACATGGAGAGTGACAATATGCTTATTGCTGTTATTACTGCTAGTAATTACTTAACATGCTTTGGGACTTGCATTGGGTTTATAAAAACAGATTATTGTTTATTTTTATATTTCTAACCCAACTTTTGGTCACAGATATTGGGATATTTGGTTAATATAGCAGAGTTGTGCAGCGGAAGCATGCTGGGCCCATAACCCTACTGAGATATTTGGTTAAGATAGCAGAGTTTTGCCCAGTCATAGAAGCGTGATACTGAGCGCGGTAAATAAATCTCCCAAGAAGGATATTGCAAAAAAGATAAACTTCCTTTTATTCAAGTAGATCCAGTTCTCATTCAGGTTGCAGTCAAAAGAAAAGAAAGAAGCCTAATCGAAAGAGTGCTTTCTCTGTCACAAGTGGCCAGAGCTAATCCAACATCACGTGTGTGGGAGTTAGGGCTGCCAAGTGGGGGCGGGGGGTGGGTAAACCCCCGCTTTGGAGGCCTGATTTCCGACGCCGCGGAATTGGCCCCCGGGGGAACCCCACCCCTGCGTGCGCATCACCAGGAAGTGACGTGGGCACGCAGGGCATGCTGGGGGCGGGGCCATGGCCATACAAGGGAAAACTCTATGGTTTCCCCTTGTATGGCCATGGCCCCGCCGCCAGCGTGCCTGGCATCCTCCCGTCACTTCCGGCATCCTCCCGTCACACTTGGCAACCCTAGTGGGAGTATGAGGGCACTGTGTCTGCAGAAGAAACCTACAGAGATATGTGCCTCCATGGAAGGCCATGTGAGGAAGTGAGAGGGAGGAGGGGCCAGAGGGCAGCTCCCAGGTTAATACAAAGGGAGGCATCCTATTTAAGGCGATAGCATCTACACACACTTAGAGTGATGTAGCACACACACACACACCCAATGTCCAGGCATACTGAGTATCCCACTCCAACAACAACGTGGGCTCCCATCTAGCTACGTTGTAATAAATGTGATGTTATAGGGAAGGCATGTAGATTTTTTTTTTTAATGGAGCCCTATTTCCTAGTTTACAACCAAGGTTCTTTGAATTGGGACTTGGGATTTTTTATCTCACTCAGAGTAGTAACTTTCTACACAAAACCTGGGAGACCCCATCAATTAGAACTGTTAAGTGGCTTAGCCGTTCATGGTCTCTGCATTATACCTAATTAGATTTGAGTGTTATCTAATAACATTTCACCCTGTACTTCCTGGATTTCATGGCCCCTTGCCCCTGCTATTTGGTTGGCTTTTTAAAAGGATTCTGCCTGCCTAGAGGGATCCCAAAATGATGCTCCAATCACAGCCTCTCCAAAAGCTTATTTTGGAATAAAATGTTGCTAGTCTTTACATTGGGGCTGCGGTGGCTCAGTGGTTAAGATGCTTAACTGCCGACCGGAAGGTCGGTAGCTCACCAGTTCAAGACCCAAGTGACACGTGACAGAGTGAGCTCCCGTCTCTGGCCCCAGCTCCTGCCAGCCTAGCAGTTCAAAAGCAAGAAATTGTAAGTCGATAAATAGGTATTGCTTCAGTGGGAAGGTAACAGTGTTCCGTGCGCCTTGGCATCTAGTCATGCTGGTACATGACCACGGAAACGTCTTCGGACAGTGCTGGCTCTTCGGCTCAGAAACGGAGTTGAGTACCGCCCCCTAGAGTCAGATTGGACTGGCTTTCGAGCAAGAGACACCTTTACCTTCACCTTTAGTCTTTAAATTACCACATTGACGTGGCTAACTATCTGGATTTAGAGCTATCGGACATTTTTCAGACGGGGAAATTGGTACACATGGTAAGACGTGCAATGCAAGTCAGGTAACTGGTAGGGTTGCCATCCTCCGGGGGGGGGCTGGAGATTTCCCAGAATTAAAATCGATCTCCTGACTGCATATGAGGTTGCCAGGCTCCAGGAGGTGACTGGAGATCTCCTGCTATGACAATGGATCTCCAGGCAACAGAGATCAGTTCCCCTGGAGAAAATGGTCCCTTTGGAAGGTGGACTCTGTGGCATTCGACCCCACTGAAGCCCCTCCCCTCCCCAAACCCCACCCTCCTCAGGCTCCAACCCCAGAATCTCCAGGTATTTCCCAACCTGGAGCTGGCATCCCTAACTACAGAGATCAGTTCCCCTGGAGAAAATGCCGGCTTTGGAAGGTGGACTCCAGGGCATTGTACCCTGCTGAGGTCCTTTCCCCTCCCCAGCCCCTCTCCAGCCCCCTGCTCTACCGCCCAGATCTCCACGAATCTCCCAAACTGGAGTTGGCAACCTAGCGTTCCCCACTCTTGCAGCAGCGCAGGGGAGGTGGCCCCCAAAGGATCGACTTCCTGCATCTCCAAAGTATTTCCATTGTGTATCAGACCTTGTGAAGACCACAGGCTCTTATGGGTCTCTTTTGGCTAACATGGCTGAGTGAGGAGGAGGAGGAGGAGAAATGGGTGAGGTGTGTTTGGTCTTTAGTTTCATAGCTCTGGATGCAAAATCAGACTTACCTTTGACCCATCCAAGAGCCAGTTTGGTGTAGTGGTTAAGAGCACGGACTCTAAACCGGGTTCGATTCCCCACTCCTCCACTTGCACCTGCTGGATGACCTTGGGCAAGCCACAGTTCTCTCAGAGCTGTTCTCTCAAGAGCAGTTCTCAAAAGAGCTCTACCAGTCCCACCTACCTCGCAGGGTGTCTGTTGTGCAAAGGGGAAGGGAAACAAGTTTGTAAACTGCTCTGAGACTCCTTTGGGTAGTGAAGGGTGGGGTATAAATCCAGTCTCCTCCTCCTCCTCTTCTTCCTCTCTCTCTCTCTCCACTTAGAATAAAACTGGTTAAAAAGTGATAAATGGATGAATTAATCTGTGTAATCCTCCTTGAGTACCTCAATGAGAGAGGTGGACCATAAATAAGATAAATATTTGTCCCCCCATGCATGCAGGCATGGTGGGAACCTGAGCCTGAGCACAGAACAAGGGGATATTTTGTAGAATTAAAGGACTTGATTGTCTTTGAAATGAAGGATTCCGGTCTCATCTAGAGGTGGTATCGTCTCCGTGTGCTTTCAGGAATCCGATCTGACCTTCCGTCTGGCCAGCGGTCTCGTGATCTGGCAGCCGATGTGGGAACACAGGCAACCGGAAGTCTCAGCCTTTACCTCAATGGTGAAACCCATCAGGAACATAATTACAGGTGCGTGAGACTACGCGATGGATGTGACACTAAAGCTTCTTCTTCTGTACAAGGACGGCACCCCACAGTCCCTTCTGTTATTAACAATGTATTTTAAAGTCTTGTCTACCCAGTGTGTGTGTGTGGGGGGGGATAGTAAGACAGACCAGCAGGAGACAGATGAGGAAAGAGAGTCCCACCTTTTGCTCAGGTGCTGGCTTCTCTCCAGTCATTGATCCCAGGAGCTATTCTGATGTATTGATTTCAACATTTTATCATAAGAACATAAGAGAAGCCGATGTTGGATCAGGCCAATGGGCCATCCAGTCCAGCACTCTGTCAGAGGCCCAAAATACCAGGTGCCATCAGGAGGTCCAGCAGTGGGGCCAGGACACAAGAAGCCCTCCCACTGTTGCCCCCCCCCCAAGCACCAAGAATACAGAGCCTCACTTGCCCCAGACGAGAGCTCCCATCTAATACCTTGTGGCTAACAGCCACTGATGGACCTCTGCTCCATATGTTTATCCAATTCCCTCCTGAAGCTGTCCATGTGTGTAGCCGCCACCACCTCCTGTGGCAGTGAATCCCATGTGTTAATCACTCTTTGGGTGAAGAAGGACTTCCTTTTATCCATTCTAACCCGACTGCTCAGCAATCTCATGGAGTGCCCAGCCCACGAGTTCTTGTATTGCGAGAAAGGGAGAAAAGGACTTCTTTCACGACCTGCTCTGTCCCAGGCACAATCTTGTAAACCTCTAAATCGTGTGTTTTTTTCTAGCAGCTAAGAGCAGCTCACAATTTTTAAAAAATGCACAAGAATAGAACTAACTTGATTAAAAGCTACCCATAATCAACACATTAAAGGGGGGGGGGGTTAGGAAAAGCATTACCCTCTTTCTGATATCGAGAAAACAGATATGGCCTGTGTTATAGCTAAAAGGGCCCATCGGAGTGGTTGTGGCTGGATTCGCAAATCTGAATGATTCAGTCTTCTGTTTTCCAGCTAAGAGAAGTTCTCCAATCAAAAACCAGATCTTGACATCTGAATCTCCGAGTCTGGATGCCGGATGTACCGAGGTAAGGACGGAAACTGTAGAGTCTCATAGGAAGCCCCTCCAGGAAGACAGGAAGAGAAAACGGTACCGGGGATGCAGTTACTTGCTTCAAGCTGAAAGTCTTGCCAGGAAAACATGGACTTAGTCTGCAGTTGCTATGTAAGGCTGTTCCATCTCTAATCTGCTGTGGAACCAGCTTCTCTTGCCGTCCATTTGGCTCAGTATAAAAAGCTCACTGTCTGCATTAGAACAGAGGGGAGAGCATGTGAGAGAGGGGGGAGGAGCAGCCTTCCAGGGGTTCCCGCAGGGTACTGCACTGCAGGGAGGAAACAGAACCTGTGATCCCCCCAGAAAGTAAAGAGGAGGGGACCTGGAGGGGGGCAGGAAAGATGGAATGAGCTGGGTAGAAAACACAAAACACCCAGCGGTTGCCAGGCAGGGCGTTCTGGGGACTGCCCCATGAAATAACAAATGGTTCAGGGGTGGGTGTGCTTCCAATCCCCCCCTCCCAAAAAATGTGATTGCAGAAAAATGTTCCCTGGCTGCTTTTAAACACAGACGACTGGATTTTCAGCTAACTAGTTTCCTTTGTGACAATTTGTGTATCTCCTTAGAAAAGACGGGGTTGGGGGGAGAGAATTCGGCTCCAGTTGTCTGCTTATCGCTCACAGCAGCTTGAGGGTGGGGAGGAGCAACTAAATCCACCTTAGTGTCCTCGGAGTCACCACTAAATGGCAATAAAACGATGCAGACAGCTGATATGGAGATGAGACAGTAGGAGAGCGGATGCGGCATGAAATGCAGACAGACATTTTTGAGATGATGTGAGATCGTTGGCACACCGGCGTGAAAGACCAATGCAGATTGGACCATGGTTTTGATTATTTGCCTTCCCTGTATAATCTTCCCAGGGTCTTGGGATAAGTGACAGCATTTCAAACAAAAACTCCTTGGGAATATTAGCAGTATTTGAAATAACAAAAGCTAATTTGTGATATGAAGGAACCTCATGCTTTTAACGGAGTCTTCAAAGAAGTGCTAGAGTCCAGAACACCTTATAAACCAATAAGATTTGGGGGGAGGAAAAGGGAAGGGGCTGTGGCTCAGTGGTAGAGCATCTGCTTGGCATGCAGAAGGTCCCAGGTTCAATCCCCGGCATCTCCAGGGAAAAGGACCAGGCAGAAGATGATGTGAAAGAGAGCCAGTTTGGTGTAGTGGTTAGGAGCATGGACTCTAATCTGGGAGAACCAGGTTTGATTCCCCACTCCTCCACATGCAGCTGCTGTTGTGATCCTGAGTCGGTCATAAATTCTCTCGGAGCTGTTCACTCAAGGGCAGTCCTCAGAAGAGCTCTCTCAGCCCCACCTATTGTTCACAGTTGTTCACAATCCATGGCCCTGACCTCGATGGCTCAGGCTAGCCTGATCTCATCAGATCTTAGAAGCTAAGTAGGGTTGGCCCTGGTTAGGGAGACCACCAAGGAAGTCCAGGGTTGCTACACAGAGGCAGGCAATGGCAAAACACCTCTGAACGCCTCTTGCTTTGAAAACCCCATGAGGGTTTTGCTGGTATATAACTAAGACCTGACCTGGAAGACCCTGGCAAGCTCAGCCTCTTCAGATCTCAGAAGCTAAGCAGGGTCAGCCCTGGTTAGTATTTGGATGGGAGACCACCAAGGAAGGCCAGGGTCACTATGCAGAGGCAAGCAATGGCAAGCCACCTCTCATGATCTTGGAAACTCTACGGGGTCACCGTAAGTCAGCTGCAACTTGACAGTACTTTCCAGCACCACAGTCCACAGGTTCAGGTATTGCATCAAGGCTTTGTGCTACGTACTCTAATCTGCCCATTCTGCATTTTATTAGTAATGTTGCAGAGCAGTATACCAGTGAAAAGAGGATCCCTGATTTGAGCACGATGGATGCGAATCTGGTCTCTCCATCCTCATTGCTCTACCATGGAGGTAGCTCATCACGGCTCAGTCCTATCCAATGCTCCCTCTAGGCTGCAGAGTCTTGTGAGCAAAAATTCCACTTCGTGAGCTCCTGGCATTAAAATTGTGAGCGAGTAATATGGCTACTGCATAAACTAGTTTGCTCTGGAGCCATCCTTCCTGAGCTAAGGCAAGAATGTGTGCGCCGGAAACTAAAAAGGCTAAAAAACTGCGAACTAGCTCACACTGACTCAGCTTAGAGAGAACACTGGTCCCATCCGTGTTTATTCAGAAGTCCCTTCTCATCCAGTGGTGCATGCCTGCACTTAAGTGTGCATTGGACGAACACTTGAGTGCGCAATCAAACGAAGAAGAGTCCGACAATTGCTCCGGCAGTGAAGTATTCAGAAGGACACCCGAGGATTAGTTTCTTCTGGTGAAGAGTAATGATGCCAGTAGTCATTATCGGTTTGAAGAGGAAGCCGTAGGTACTTGATTGCATTTCTTTCTGAAAACGTCCGCAGGGACTACAGGTGGTGTGTGAAACAGCCCGGCCCGACTCTGTGCCTCCCAGGCCAGCTGTTGCAGGTTGTCATCGCGGGAACTCCATTGATGGGAGCGTGTCATCCCAGGCGTCCCAGGAGAAGGGGCCTCCATATCCCAGGTAGAAGGCTGCTTCCTTTCGGATATCTCGCTTGCTTGCTGTTAAATGATAACGACGGAATTGTAAAGACAAAGAAATGGTCGGGGTTTCTCTGCAGCATTGGTCTCCGACCCTTTTTTGTGCCTGTAAGAGCCTTTGGAATTCCGACAGACTTGGTGGGCGCAGCCACAAAATGGCTGCCACAAAATAGCTACTGCGGGAGGCAGAGCCGGCCCCAAAATGGCGGCCCAAGCTGACCTTCAGACACACAGTGAAGATCCTTGTGCGGTGGTGGCGTTGCCAAAGCAATGTTCTTGAAAATCTGCACAGCCCACCAAACCTCCAGAGGCCAATCAGAAGCCTTGGGGGCCAATGCCCCACTTGGCCACACCCCCTTCTTAAAAACATTTGGCGGGTACCAGGAACGCTGCCAGTGGGCATCATAAGAACATAAGAACATAAGAGAAGCCAATGTCGGATCAGGCCAATGGCTCATCCAGTCCAACACTGTGTGACAGTGTGCCACTGTGCGACACAGAGTGTTGGACTAGATGGGCCATTGGCCTGATCTGACATTGACGTCTCTTATGTTCTTAACTCCAGGTTGGGAAAGTTGTGGAGATTTGGGGGTGGAGCCTGGAGAGGGCGGAGTTTGGGGAGGGGAGGAAGTTCAGAAGGGGAGGGATGCCATAGAGCCCACCCGCTGACGCTGCCATTTCCGCAAGGGGAACTCTGTAGTCTGGAGATCAGCTGGGATTCCCATAGAACTTTGGGCTGCCCCTGGAGGTGAGCAACTCTAGCTCAGCCAAGTTTGAAGCCATCCTCCTATGCAGGGCTATTTTTGAGCAGGAACGCACAGGAACGGAGTTCTGGCTGGCTCCCGAGTTGGCCACGCCCAGCAGGAACTCATTAGCATAATAGGCCACACCCAACAGCAGAAACTCATTAGGATTGGCTACATTAGGGGTGTGTGGCCTAACATGCAAAGGAGTTCCTGCTCCAAAAAAAGGCCCTGGGTTTTGACCACAAACAAGGTCAACAGAATAAGAAGCAAAAGGTGGGTGTGGCTGGATGACCACACTTGGTGCGGCCTAATGTGCTAATGAGCTGTGCTGTCAGGGGTGTGGCCCAATATGCTAATGAGTTCCTGCTGTTGGGTGTGGCCTATTATGCTAATGAGTTCCTGCTGGGCTTTTTCTACAAAAAGAGCCCTCCTATGTAAAGAAGAACCTGTATGCAATGAAAGAAGCACCTCTTCCATAGGAAGAAGGCTCCTTAGGGTGGAGGAAATCTTCAAATTGGACTGAACTGAGTGGCGAGGGGAAAAAGCCAGTGGCCTCCGTGCTTGTGGATTTTCTAAGCCAAAGAAAACACACTGCTCACTGTAGAGTTTCCATAAAGGTGACAGGACGGCAGGGAATGTTTTGTTTTTCAGAACATTGCAATGTTTCCCCCAGTGCAAGACTAGCTTTCCCTCCCCAAGTATGCCATAAAAAGAGGGAGCTCGCAATGCCCCTTCTAAGCTGTGGAGTCTTGTGAGCAAAAATTCTACTTGGTGAGCCACTGGCATTAAAGTTGTGAGCGAGCGATTTGGCTACTGCGTAAATTAGTTTGCTCTGGAGCCGTCCTTCCTGAGCCAAGACAAAAATGTGTGAGCCAGAAGCTTAAAAACTGTGAGCTAGCTCACACTAACTCAGCTTAGAGGGAACATTGGAGGTGCCTTACAGTCACACATAAGCTACATATTGTCCACTAATTTTTTTCATTTCCCCCCCGGGTATCGATGGTCTGGATAGCCCAGGATAGCCCAACCTCTTTAGATCTTTAAGAGCATAAGAGAAGCCATGTTGCATCAAGCCAATGGCCCACCCAGTCCAAAGCTCTGTGTCACACAGTGGCCAAAACCCAGGTGCCATCAGGAGGTCCACCAGCAGGGCCAGAACTCTAGAAGCCCTCCCACTGTTACAACCCAAGTACCAAGACTACAGAGCATCACTGCCCCAGACATAAGAACATAAGAGAAGCCATGTTCGATCAGGCCAATGGCCCCTCCAGTCCAACACTCTGTGTCACACAGTGGCCAAAAACCAGGTGCTATCAGGAGGCCCACCAGCAGGGCCAGAACTCCAGAAGCCCTTCCCACTGTTGCCCTCCAAGCACCAAGAATACAGAATATCACTGACCCATACATAAGAACATAAGAGAAGCCATATTTGATCAGGCCAGTGGCTCATCCAGTCCAACACTCTGTGTCACACAGTGGCCAAAACCCAGGTACCATCAGGAAGTTCACCAGCAGGGCCAGAACTCCAGAAGCCCTCCCACTGTTGCCCCCCAAGCACCAAGAATACAGAACACCACTGCACCAGACATAAGAGAAGACATGTTGTATCAGGCCAGTGGCTCATCCAGTCCAACACTCTGTGTCACACAGTGGCCAAAACCCAGGTGCCATCAGGAGGTCCACCGGCAGGGCCAGAACTCCAGAAGCCCTCCCATTGTTGCCCCCCAAGCACCAAGAATACAGAGCCTCACTGCCCCAGACATAAGAACATAAGAGAAGCCATGTTCGATCAGGCCAATGGCCCATCCACGCCAACACTCTGTCACACAGTGGCCCAAAATACCAAAAATACTACACATGTATGTGAGTAGGCTATCAGTGATGATTTACAACAGCCTTGCATTAGTCTGCCCAGGTGGTACCATTTAAACCTTACAGCATGAAGCCACGGAAAAGCCGCTCCAGGAAATCCTGATAAATGAAGGACCCCTGCTCCATGCCAGTGGAGGAGGGAAGCTAAGCTCTCGATATATCTCAGCAGGCATATTGGAGGTTAAAAAAACCACCCCAAAACACCAATTTACCCCAAATGCAAAAATCAGATTTTGGGTTTAGCATTGAACTGAAGTGATTGTGTTGTTCTCTCTCTCTCTCTCTCTCTCTCTCTCTCTCTTTTTTGCTGTTGATGATTTTGCGAGCGCGTTCCAAGTACCAGAGGAGGGAGGAATTGGGTTTTAGACAGCAGAAACCAAGCAATGGGTGACTGAAACCGAGCCAGGCGGTCGCCATGGCGATGGAGCTGCAGGCACGCTCTGTATCCTGCGTCATTAATTTCTCTTCTTCTGCTGAACTCATTGATCACTCTGAATGAATGGTTGGCAGGAGTGGGGGGGGGGGAGAGAGAGCATTGGTTGCCTAGCAACTGTCCAGGAAGAAATACATGTTGTTTTGCCCGACTTTCCGAACCAGCCTCCATGGAATTCTGTTTGCCCTTGAAGCCAAAATCCAAACCGATGGTTATGTCGCAGACCCTACAACCTTCGGGATGCAAAATAACTGGCTGAACATGGGGTTGAAATTAGAAGGCGTATTTAAAAACAAGCTTGTTTAACAAAACTCAGGTTTGTTCTTGGAGGCTTACACGGCCGGAGTTCATTAGCTGTTGTAGATTTTCTGGGCTGTATGGCCGTGGTCTTGGCATCTTAGGACCTGACGTTCCGCCGGCAGCTCTGACTGGCATCCTCAGAGGTATAACACAGAAAGATGGAGTACTCTCTGTGTCCATGTGAGAAGAAAAATGGTAGGCAGGTGATTTATATCTACTCAGGAAAGTGGGGTAGGGCTGAGTCATTATCTTGTAGGAGTTCCCCAGGCCGTGAACCCAGGTTGTCTTTCTGATAGAGAATTCTTAGTGCCTTTGGATATAGATAGATAAATGGGTCGCTAGGCTAGCTAGCTTACCTCCAGAATGAAACCAAAAAGAAGCAGTCTCTCGTTCATAGTTATATTCTGAGTGCCTTGGGTAAAACTGGCAGGGTTCCACAAAGAACACGAGCCCACAAGTGCACAGGAGAGAAATCCCTTGTAAGACGACCTTTCTCCCAAAGGGAGAATTTGGAACACATGACCACATGGAGCTGCCTTCTACTGCATCAGACCCTCGGTCCATCAAAGTCAGAATTGTCTACTCAGACTGGCAGCGGCTCTCCAGGGTCTCAGGCAAAGCTCTTTCACATCACCTCCTGCCTGGTCCTTTTAACTGGAGATGCTGGGGATTGAACCTGGGACCTTCTGCATGCCAAGCAGATGCTCTGCCACTGAGCCACAGCCCCTCCCCTTGACATATAGTGAATCAGACCCTTGGTCCATCAAGATTAATATTGTTTACTCACAAGACCCCACAGCTTAGAGGAAGCATTGCTGATAGGTAAGGGGGGGGGACTCTGTGGCACCTAGGACCGCCAGGTCCGAATGACAAGCCAACGGGGAACTTACCAGGATGCTCAAGGAGAGGAGAGGGAAGAAGCATTCCATCTCTAATTCTACCATAGAGTTTTTCCCAAAAAGCAGAGCGTCCCCCCGTGACATCACCAATGTGCCTACATCACTTCCGGGTGACGTAGGCACGTCGTGTTTGGGGTGGTAACTCTCCGCCACCAGCCAGCTGGCCAGCATGGGGTGGGGAGCACAGGAAACTGGCGGATCCCCTGTGTACCGGGTGGGCCTCGCAACCCTGGTGGTGCCCCCTTTCCCTTGGTGCCCTAAGCATGTGCTTATTTTGCTTAATGGTTAATCCAGGATTAGAGGGACCCCTGCAGTGCTGGCCACTGGGGCTCAGTTTGACTTCTTCCTACCTGCCGGCCCTGGGTGCTGTACGACCCTGTTCAAAAACTGTCCTTGAGAAACCAGAGACGAGTCTGTCAGCAGTCCGGAGTCCCTCTTCAGAAGCAAGCCCAGGCCTGAATCTGTGTAAAATCGGATGTCTGGGTTTCACGCAGAGCTGAAAGGGTCCATTATTTAACAGGCATGTTTCACTAGTTAATGAATCACAGAGTAGAGGCATGAATGGTTAGACTGCAGATCAGCTTCCCTGGGTGAGGGCATTTAGAACCAGTGGCATTGATGCAAACAGCAAGTGCATTATCTGGTTTCAAGCAGTAATGTGTCTAAACTGTCTTCCTCCCCCCTGCAACCATAAAGGTATTTCCCTGAGATTCTGTCAAGATAAACCATTATCTTTAGGAGAACAAGGTTGGAGTCCAGTGGCCCCTTTAAGACCAACAAAGTTTTATTCCAGGTATAAGCCTTTGTGTGCACACACACTTCAGATACAAGAGGGTGCATATATATGGCTGTGGTCACATGGCAAGCGTACCACGATTTATTCCTGCT